GTGTCTTACTATTTTGTGATACTATTTGAATACTTGCAATGAGTAACCGCACACAGAAGTAAATACTGATATCTGTTAGTTGTGGTATATAGAAAGTGATTTTCTAAAACTTAAAGTTTTGTTCAATAGGAGTTGCTTCATTGCCGTACGCACTAAAGCCTTTGTGTTCAGATAAAGGACTATAATATTTGTAGAAAAACAAAGCTGAGTATTTTTCAAATAGGAGTAGCGATTCGGTGTCTATATTGTCATGAAAGATAAAAAAGATATGCAAAAGTGTTACAAATACTTAAGAATTAGAAATACTCTGAGAAATGCTGTAATAGAATGACTACGCATCCAGATTTCTAGAAAAAAATTATGAAGGAGGAAAAGCCTATAGAATAGATTTAATCAGCTCCAAAGGAAACGCTTTTGATGAACCTCACATTTAAGGGTGATTTGACAGCAAACATTTTTCGCCAACAGTTATCAAAGTCCCCAAGTAGAACATTCTATACTGCGAACCATTCACCTGTTGTCCTCTCACGTCAACTGAATCCCCAGTGTATGAAAGACAAGCTGACATGAAGGGCCTCATCACTGAGCATTTACAAGTTCACTTGATCCTGTAGGGTAAAGTACAGACACAATGATCTGCGCTGTCTTGATAACCACACTCACGAATATCATCCATTCTGGTTGCTGAAGCATTAGTTCCATCTTCGAACACTTTATAGACTCCAGATATCTAACCACCAAAAAAGTCTTATTTAATGTTCTCTACAAAATTTGACCAATCCATTCAAAGGGAATGACGACACAGCGTTTGTACACACCTGAAGCTTCGAAAATTGATAGCTACAGATCTCAAGTGTGCATTCAAAAGAAATATGTGATCTTTGACAGATACTCCACACCTCCGTTTGCTTTATTTTAGTGTTTTATTTATTTATTTGTTTATTCACCAGATACCAAATCTTACTTTTCATTGCATTTTTCTTCTATTCTGTCAAACTTTTGACATTATTTCTCGTACCATTCTCGATTAACTTTGACCTTTGACAAGAAACTTGTTGGAACATTCAGATATTATTATTATTTTTCCCTTGGGTTCCTAATGGAACATACGGCTTCAGTAGCGCACCTCCACTGCACTCTCTTCTCCCCAGTCTTTTCAAACTCGCTCCTCGACTGCCCACAAGCTCTTATTTCCTCCCCGCACCATCTCCTCCATGTCATCCTCGACTCACAAGCCCAACTGGTTATTTCCGATTTGGGTTCCACTTGAGGGCCTGGCCTGACGCGCGATCTCCCCAGTCGCCCTCTCAGTGTATGCCTAATCCATCTCCACTTCCTTCCAGTGCATATTGGTTCGTCACCAGCCAGAGTTCCTCCATGCTTATTCTTCCTGGCCATCTGATATTCAGTATCGAGCCAGCATAGGCAGCTGTCGATGATGTTTGTCTGTAGTTCGCCGAAATGCCTTTCGTAACACGCCAAGTCTCTCAACAACATAGAACCACTGACTTAACTAACATTAGTGTTGAAAATCGGGATCTTGTTCCACATGCTGGGTGCAGAAGATCATCACACTGGTTTCAGAATAATGAACACCAGTCTTGCTGTATTTCCGATACTGGCTGCGTTGACGTCCTCGTCTGTACCCGTGTCGCCTGTAGTTGAAACGATGCTGCTAGGTAGGTGTAGGTGAAGGAGGCTACTTCCTTCACGTTTCTCCCATTCATGGTGATTGGTGCGTCTTGTTGTTCATGCTGTTGTTGGTTGGGTATCATCATCACTTCTGTCTTCTCTACGTTCACCCGAACGAAGTTCCGTGTTCACTGCCCTGCCCTGTCCTGCATCTTCTGTCAACTTGTTCGTTTTCGCCTGTAGATGTTCGAGTTAGTGAGACATAACACACTTGACATAAATCATCGTCGGCAAAGTCCAAATCTTCTAGGCTTTTCTCATCGGTCCAGCCAGTGTATGCCCATCTTCTCACTCCCCACGGTTTGTTGCATGATCCAGTACAGTCAGCCACATTCAGGAATATCATGGGTGATAGTAGACTGCCTTGTTTTACTCCTGTCTTCACTTCAAAGACATCACTGAGCTTCCCATTGTGAATTACCTGGCATGTGGCATCTTCATATATTTGTTGAATGAGGCTGATAAAGGTTTGTGGTACTCCGTAGTGTTGAAGCAGTTTCCAAAATACTTCTCAGTTGATGCTGCTGAAACATTCCGATATACTTGTTATATATTTATAACTATGGAAACGGGTTGTCGAAAATTTAATTCCAGGGTGGAATTCACCATGGACTAATTTCAGTAGAGGGAACGTCAGAAACCTGGGAGCACTAGACGGCCGTTCCGTCCAGCCGTGGAACTCCTCAGCAGTGCGCAACCATGACCCTGCCAGAGACCGAACACAGGATCTTCAGGTTCCGTGGTCAGTACATTACCACTGAGCCAATGGGTAGCAATTCCAATGCTCCATATTTCTTTTTTTTGTCAGTTCACGATATAGCCCGACCTGTATCCAATATCATCGTTGAGTAACTCCCCTCGTGGGCGAAACAGCGGTCCAGTGCTTCCCGGTTTCTAATAACCCGCGAATTGATGTCAGCCAACGATAAATTCCAACCTGAAACCAATTAATTAATCTCTATCAACCTCCATATGCAAAAGATAATTATCTTCACTGTAACCCCCTTTTGTTTGTCTGTGACCACTATATTCGTAGAGGTTTTATCGGTTTGCACAATATAGTTGACTTCGTATTCACCGGTAAATACGAAGAGTTGAACGGAGTGGTTTTAAATAGTCCTGCAACTGATGTCGTTTTGTGATGAACAGTGACTTGAAATGAGTCAGCTTTATTCTCTATAAGTCTTATTATCTTTGCGATTTTGAGTTAGATTGTACACACTCATGAATGTCAATAACATGGCTAATATAATAAAACAGAAACTTCACATGAGTGTTATTTGGTTGTGGGAGATCTACAGGAAGCTGTACTTCATCGAGGTTTCGTGATTGTGGGTACTCGTCAAGAAGGTGTATCTTCAACCTTGTGGGAACTGGTGCCCACTTTGAAACTCTAACGATTATCATTTGGCGCCACAGTTAGCGACGTCACCATTAAGCTGTCAGAGATGGGTCTGACCTCCAGTAGGAATGGATTAGATACACTGATTAGTCACTTGCAAAAAACCAATTTCGTGATGGATAGAATTCGATCAGCACCCAGGAATAAACAGCACGAAACTGGTTTCTCTCGAGACACCAGTTAGTCAAAAACTTCACATTTTAATCTAAAACAGGTAAGTAAAGTTACACACTTTTACCTTAAGAACTTTTTAACTTGAAAGTTATCTTACACTTATCATCGTAACTACTGGGGAAAATGAAGCAAATAAACGCCGGTTTAATCGTGTAACTCATGAAACTTAGCAATGGGTAACACTCGGCAATCTGTGTTTATCTATTACTAGGCTTTATTCACTCCCACCAGCGACTACACTAAACGAAATTGACTGATTCATTGAGTAAAGAACTTTCGTATGAGCCGACCATTCAGCTTCATTCACGCATACACACAAAATCTTCAGAAAAGTGGAGAATCTTAAAGGTAACGTCTTTTAAAGTTTAATGAATTGATATTGTGAACAACGAAAGCCGTTCAAACATAAACACAATAAAGTAAAACGGGGTTAAAAGCAGTCCGTCTGTAAAAAAGACGCCGGAAGAGGAAATACATACGTGAGAGTTTACTTTTTCTTGAGGCGAAAAGAAGATTCGATGAAGTTCTCACCATTTTCCTTATTTCGTAAATGGACATACAATACCGATAGCTGCTACCTTGACGTAGTGGTTGGGCTTGCATATCACAATGACTCAACAAGCGATCCTGGTGAAACACTTGTTCCCTCGAGTTCCCTATCTTACCAGAAAGATCTGTTGGATAATAGTTACACGGAAAACAGTTACCGTTGTGATGTAAATTACTACACTATGATGGGGGTCTGAGGGCAATGTCATACTGTTGCTATCTGGATGGGGTGTGACAGCAGTAAGATATCTCCCTTGGATTATCATTAGTGCCATGCTGATGCTGCCTTCTCAGTGGAACGGAGGGTTAGGAAAGATCGGTCCCAAAAGTAACACACCCCACCATACCCCACGTTTTGCCGGGGGGGCAGTGTTGGTTCATTTGTCATTTCTTTTCGACCACCCGGCCCCAAAGCAACGAAAGTTCAAAACAGGCACACACAAAAGGCTATGTGTGACAAGCCTCAAGCAGATGTCTGATGGGCTCTGAGGTCACACAAATCCCTTTCAGGTACCTTAAGAAGAAATAGCCCTCGACGGTGTGAGCAGCTGGGAAATGTCAACCACCCTCATAACTCTGTCAGTACTCAAGTTTCTTCAGACTAGTATATACAAAAGCCATAATATGGTTCAAACAGTCTTGTGAACAGGATATGTCTTGAAAATCTTCTAGGTAATTCCAGTGCATTGAAGACCTTCATTACAAAAAGTCACTACTGAAGATCACAGCCACAATTCAACCTAGTTTCTTTCGAACTAAATGAAACTGGATATTGGGAATAAATATTTCGCTTATGAAAGAGCTGGTATCTTTTAATTTAATAGGTGAAATAGCTTGGAAAGTATTTTTCATCAGTTAATTCAACACAGCTATATGAAGACCTACAAATTGATGGTGAACGTATATATTATTTGGATTATATACTCTCTTAATGTCTTCTTCTAGTCTGTGTTTCTGAAGAGTCATTTTTCTGTGATGTACTTATTACGTCTTGCTATTTCTGAGTTCCAACTAAATGATGCTGACTGAACAGATAAGCTTTCAACAAATCTCATCATCTCCTCCGTACATCAGTAGTCAGTCTTAGTTATTTCGATTGAAAACATAACATTTTCCTAGTTGAGTTATTTGTAGGTTAAAGTGTCACTTAAAAAACAACTGTAATGGCATATTATCTTTCCAGATGATTGACTCAAAGGCGCTAATATTTAAAGTACTAATAATTGGTAGTCTTGGGGTCGGTAAACAAACTTTGCTGAACATTCTTCTACATGATACCAATGAAATATTCAACAAGGCTGAAACTAATAAAGAGAATATTGTACATACATCTGATGTAAAAATTATACTATATCAACGGAAACTAGACGACATAAATTATTTAATTCAATTTATGAAACCTCCAAATCTAGATTCGTAAGTCATTTTATCTTTTGTTTTAAAGCTAAGTCAGTATTTTCTGTTGAACTGCAAAATACGCTAACTTACTTTTGGCATTATATGCAAATGTTAGCAGTTTATCTTAAAACAGACATTATTCTTTTCAAACTTTTATATCATCCTTATGAGAGTCGGTAGTTTCATGAACTTGTATACTGAATAGTGTGTTGAGCTTCTATAAACTTCATTGTTAATTTACAATATCCTTAAAAACAAGTAAGTATATGAACGTTACTTGAATATGCCAACTGTTTCCTTATAAATAAAGAATATAGTGGATAAATTAACTTTGGAATAATGTTGACGTACAGGACAGAGTTGATATTGTAGTGGGCGTTGCTAATAAGAATGGATATAAGTAGTATATATTAAGAGGGTGGCAGAAATCATAGGGAATTTCCAGCAACGAATAAGGATTCCTCTAACAAAAATGCAAGAGACAAAGCAGGAGTATGAAGAGCAAACCAAGAAAGAAGCAGAAGAGGAAATGAAGCATATTTTGCAAATGACGGTTTTAGTCCAAGGTGTAACATATTTTCCGACTACTGTCCTTCCTTCAAAACTGTCTTTTTGTGTTTTTCAACATTAGTAGTGATTTACCAATGGAATTTGAATTATCTTTGTAGCTAACAACAGTATCACTTCGGAACTCATTCGTAGGAAATGTAGTCAATAGATGGCTGTTTGTATGGTGCACAGTGTGTGTTGACTTCAAACTTATCTTATAAACAATACCTAGAGTAATAGTGCTTTTATCTATACTATGCTGTGTATATAGTGTTATTGCCTGTATTACACCGTCGTTGATTCGACCGAATTGATCAGTCTCTGTTGGCAACCAATACAAGCAATAACACCAAACGTATACCCGTCGCACAAGAAGTGACTATCGTGGCTAAGTGGTTGACGCTCTGACGTTTGGAGTTATCGCTTCCGAGTCCGAGTCCCGATGGGAACAACATCATTCACTGGGAGTCAGGTACCTCCAACTGACGAGTCCCAAATAGGATGAAATGTGCATCCTAGATTCCACTGTTAGCCACTGCCCATTATTACCATAAATTTAGCTTGTCTGAATACTGAAACTAGTATGTATTTCATCCTGACTGTTTTTGTCTGCCAGATTAAATAACTGCAGGTTAGTATTCTTCATGGACTGATATCAGTTGGAGAAGCATTGGTAACGTGCTGACCGTAGAACCGGAAAATCCTAGTTTCTATACCTGATGGGATGGTGGATGTTCACTACCAAGAAGTCCCATACTAAGACGATACAGATGTTCAGTACTCTCAGTTGTGTTTCCAATGTTTCTCTAAGCGGTATCACTCTATGATGAATATCAACCTGAAATCAATAAACCCCCACAAACCTCAAAAGTGAGGTCAAATAATCTCAGAAAAACTTTCATCATTCACTATGTGAATAAGCAATTTCAAACAGAAACTCTGGTTTTTAAGCGAATTGGTTAGTAGAACTTTAAAAAGCAAGAAATTAAAGACACTGAACTCTCATTAAAAGGTACAATCAACCCCCCTTGAGAACTTCTACAGATACGAGACATCAAACGATAGTAACTCAAAAACATTACAACAAGCATGTAAACAAAAAATCATTGTTCTTAAAAACAGGAATATGGATAATGGAAGTAAATGATATGGAGTAATTCATACGAAGATAGTATTCAACATGAAGTAACATTAGTTGAAGAGTTAACCATAGAAAACTTTGAAGCACTGAATATCTGGTACGTATACACACGCTTCAACAAGAGATCCAATCAAAGACCATCAGGTTTCCAAGTGAGCATTACACCATTCAGCCACTGAGTCTGAATTCAATGGACCGCATTTTCTTACATCCATCAATTCGTTATTTAGTGCGGCCATCATCCAATGCAATCGGCGAATATTTGTTCCCACATTCAACTTGTTTGATCCTACTTTGGTAACAGTTTCTCACTTTTACTAATTTGCATTAAACAGTAATTTCATGATGAAAATACCAGAGATGTTGATAATTTTTTACTACCAGACTTAAACAAACTTTAACTTTTACAATTATAGTTAAAATATGAAATGGTTGAAAGTGCTTTTCTGTTGTTATCAAGTTAGTCGAAGAGGAACTTTATTTTGTTCCAGCTGTGTTTCTTTAGAATGAAGAAACGGGAGCCAAATTTAATGGCTAACCTAGCAATCGCTGAAACAACCAGTCAGGGTTTGGTATTTCGTTTGGAAATGTAGTACTGTATAAAATAAAGAAGTGTGATTGGTTATCTCAGTGGCTGTTAGGGTGACCATTTAAAGTCACTCAACAAACAAGGTGAATGAGTATCAATAGTTTACTTTGGGAAAGAAGATACTTCAAACAGTGAAAACTTTAAGAAACTGAACTTAAGAGATCTCATTCCAAAAGCGGTGTCATTATCAAACATACCTGGTATTTAAAGGTTAGATGTTAGGCAAGTTGCTGAACCACAGTGTTTCTGAGTTCATCATACTTTCATTATATCCTATTGGCAACTATTTTAGATGGACAGCTTAAAGTTAACAGGCTGCTGGTAAGAGAAACCTGACAACGTTATATCCAATAACCAGGTTACTATCTGGGAAGAGATCAACTCAGATGAATCCAATAAAAGATGATAAAGAAAATCTAATTACCGAAGAAGAGAAACAAAGGAAATGATGGGCTGACCACTTCAAAATACTCTTGAGTCGGTCACCACTTGCAAATCATCCAGAAATACCACATACAGCCACAGAACTACAAGTGAACACAAGCTCTCCGATGAAGGTCGAAGTCTTGAACGTCATAAAGCTACTGAAATCCGGGAAAGTGTCAGGACCAGATGGAATCCCTCCAGAAGCACTGAGAACAGACGCAGGGACAACAGCAGACATGTCCACACAACTATTGCAAAAGGTTTGGAAGGAAGGGAAGGTACCTGCCTGTTGCTTAGAAGAAGGGCTACCTTGTCAAACTCCCGAAGATGGGCGACCTAAGTCTTTGCAAGAACTGGCATGGAATCATGCTGCTGTCCACCAGTAGCAAGCAAAATATTATGCAGATTCATCCTAGAGAGACTAACGGATGCGCTGAATTCAAAACAACTACCGGAATAGGCTAGCTAGCTGGCTTCAGGCAGAACAAATCATGTGCCGCAGAATTGCGACGCTACGGATCATCATTGAACAGAGCATAGGATGACAGTCAGTCAACTCTCTACCCCAACTTTATCGATTTTGAAAAGGCCTTCGGCAATGTCAACCGAGAAGTAATTTGGCGACTGCTCCAACACTATGGAATACCACAAACCTTCACCAGCCTCATTCAACAAATATATGAAGATGCCACATGCCAAGTAATTCACAATGGGAAGCTCAGTGATGTCTTTGAAGTGAAGACAGGAGTAAAACAAGGCAGTCTACTATCACCCATGATATTCGTGATTGTGGTGGACTGGATCATGCAGCAAACCGTGAGGAGTGAGAAGATGGGCATACACTGGCTGGACCGATGAGAAAAGCCTAGAAGATTTGGACTTCGTCGACGATGATTTATGTCAAATGTGTTATGTCTCACGAACTCGAAGATCTACAGGCGAAAACTAACAAGTTGACAGAAGATGCAGGGCAGGGCAGAGCAGTGAACACGGGACTTCCTTCGGATGAATGTAGAGAAGACAGAGGTGATGATGATACCCAACCAACGACAGCATGAACAACAAGACGCACCAATCACCATGAATGGGAGAAACGTGAAGGAAGTAGTCTCCTTCACCTACACCTACCTAGCAGCATCGTTTCAACTACAGGCGACACGGGTACAGACGAGGACGTCAACGCAGCCAGGATCGGAAATACAGCAGGACTGGTGTTCATTATTCTGAAACCAGTGTGTAGATCTACTACACTCAGCATGTGGAACAAGATCCCGATTTTCAACACTAATGTTAGTTAAGTCAGTGGTTCTATGTTGTTGAGAGACTTGGCGTGTTACGAAAGGCATTTCGGCGAACTACAGACAAACATCATCGACAACTGCCTATGCTGGCTCGATACTGAATATCAGATGACCAGGAAGAATAAGCATGGAGGAACTCTGGCTGGTGACGAACCAACCAAGAACCTATCGCTGAACATATATGCACTGGAAGGAAGTGGAGATGGATTGGGCATGCACTGAGGAGACCATTCGGGAACATTACGCGTCAGGCACTCAAATGGAACCCAGATGGGAAACGGCAAGTTGAGCGTCCAATGTGAGGGTGATATGGAGGTGATGGTGTGAGGAAGAAATGAGAGCTTGTGGGTATTCGTGGAGCCAGGCTGAAAAGATTGTAGAGAAGAGAGTGCAGTGGAGGCGTGCTATTGAAGCTGTATGTTCCATTAAGAACCCAAGGGACAAGTAATAATAATAATAATACCTTACAGTAAATATCAGCTTCTTACTGAAGTAGGTTTTATTTTACGTCGATAATCAAGTGAGTATACAGGTTTCTCACTTTGTAAACTCAAGTGCTAACAAAATAATTTCGACAAATTATTCAACTATGAACTTTGATTTATTCACTTGGAAGATGATACACGGTGACATAAGTTACATTGTGGTACTTTCAGTTAGGTCTTCATTATATATTGATGGAGAATGTTCGTAGCTGAGGTGAGTGATCTTGGTTGTGTTGCGTTCTCCTGGCTAGTTGATGTTTTATTTGTATTGTGTTCTCTGAGCTCGGTTGTTTAGTCGTGGAGCTTTCATAGTCTTTCTAGACGATATCTGCAGCAGTAACTTCAGCATAACGTTTAGACCACTCAGCTGAGCTACAAATATTCCCCACCATTTTAGTTGATATCTTTACGAAACTTCAGTAGAAGGTGCCTATCCTATTCATCATCAACTACGAAGCGCATCACAGGAATCAGCAGACACCAAATCAACATGTCAGTGATCACGATAAGATTACTGAGATCACTTGGAAATGCTGTGGTTCATAAACCAACAAAATCTCTTCAAAATATATTATACTGACCAAGGGACGCAATAGCCAAAGAGGAGAAACGGAATGCTATTTGCATAAACTGACCATTAAACATTACACCATTTCATTGCTTATCTCAATGCACGTCGATAACTATGGGCATAAATTCAATTGTGAAAATCTAAAGGTCTTTGACAGAGAATACACATACAGAATCTCAGAGAATTCCTAGAAGTTTGGCATTAAGGTTAGTCCGTAATCGATAGATGTATAGACAGACCCAATCTACAAACCAATAAAAATGATTAACATCAGAAAAAGCATAGGTCAGACATCAGAACAGTCAGTAAGAAAATGTATGTAGTCAATATCAAACAGTCTCAAACTACTTCGTCATGGCAAGCTGCTGAACCACTCACGCAGAGATATCGACAGTTCACTTCATGCCGGTTAGTACTGATTATGTTGTCTAGAAAGTTAATGAAAGCTTGACGATTAAAACGCTCAGTTCAGATAATATAAAACAATCAAGATCTTCATTATGCATCCATACTGATATATAGAGATCTGATAACTGGTTTAACCTTGGTAGGTTAACACTGATACCAGTCGAAATCTTAATGTTTTGTGCATGACGTAAGAAAATTTCAAAACTTTATAAAATAAATTGAAATAAGTTGGTTGTTAAAAGTTTTGTAGATCACCTGACCACCAGTTTGCTTAATAAAACTACCGAAGATTAAGGAAGGAGACCAGGAAATATCAGCTGACTAGAAGAAGGGGGGGGGAATGCTTGAGGCTATATAATAACGAGTGGAAAATATGGTAATACATTCAACTTAGATTCAGTTGCTAGCTTTGATCATTAAGCCTGAGGCGTAGAATAAACCTTGAGGGAATATTCATGCAGCAGTTGAGGAAACTTAAAGCCAATACAGACAAATCAATTCACTTCGATAAAGCAAATGCAGAACAATGCAAATATAAGTTGATAAAATTGTTTGTTTTCACGGTAACTAAAGTGATATTTTATAGATACAAAGCTTTAGTAGAATAATTCAATTTGGAGGTATAATAATTCCAAAACGGTATTCATCAAAGGCTCAAACCACGTACTTACTGTCTCAAACCCTAAAGTGTTATCCACTAGGCTACTTTTTGTGCAGAGTTCCAGTCTCAGTGGGAACACCATCATTCACTGGAGTGCAATTACATCCAGTTGAACAGTCCTGAATATGAAGAAATGCGCATCTTGAATTCCAACACTAATAACCATCACAAAAATTATAACGGTGATTAATCAGGCGATATCAAAGTATCTGTATAGGAGTCTATATATTGACAGAGGTTAGTCGGTTCAACGTTACAGTGATGACACAAGTATAACCTTTCTAACGTTAAATACTGATGTGTCCCTTTTGATTTTGCATAGATATTTAGCCCCTGTTCTGGTATTTTGACTCATTCCAACTTTATTCAGGCTCTATAGTTATTGAATTACTTGGAAATTCCTATTGAGTTCATCGATTTATACCAGTTCAAGGACTAACTTACAGTGAAATAATCAAAAAAGGTTGAGCTCACATCTAAAAAAACTAACCTTTCAGTTTATTTTACAATTTCAACGTAAATTCTTAAACTATGCATTCTATGACTTTCATTTCTTATTTTACCTAGGAGTCAAATAATTCTTCACAGTTTCTCTGAGAAATCTGATGGAATCATACTTATTTTCGATATATGGACACAAGAAACACTAGAAGAAATACAGAAATTTTATTTATTCAATGAAAGTCAAATAAAAACTATTCGTAAACCCATATACATGCTATTGGGTAATAAATGTGACCTAGATGAAAATGATTTGAATCAAAAACGTTCCAAGATACCCAAGAAACAGATTACTGACTTCACTAATGTAAGTTTGTTGACATTTATATTGCCTTCTTGAACAAACCAAAAACAAAAAAAATTAACTGTTCCCTGGGAAAACTTCCTAATATTTCGAGAATAAACGAAGGCATATTCTTCCTTAAACTTATTCAGTTGGGTATATTGCTCTAAACGAAGTTCCATTTTATCCATTTATTTCTCCTATTTCAAAATGGAAATTTATAAAAATACCTCGAACAAAGTGAACAATATCAGTCTTTTGACTGAAGAACTTATATAACACCGTGACGATCGATAAATTTGATCTAAACCAAGAAAGCATTATTCGCTTTCTTACCTAGCTGATGTTTGAAGCTCTGGGTATCGAGTTTAAGTTTCAGTGGGAATACTGTCACTCACTGGGAGGCAGTTATATTTATCTGACAAGTCCCAAGTAAGATGAAATATATGTCATGCCTCTCACTGGTGGTCACTAAGACGAATATAACATTATAAATATCCAACAGTATTAAGACATGTGCACAGGAGTCCATCTGCTAACAAAGGTCGAGCAATTCTGCCCTGTATAGCAACGGGAAATTACAAGTAACTAACCAATTTTACAGAAAGCTTCGATCTTTTCTGATTGAAGAGTTTTGCTGATTTTACTATGCACTCATTGTTATAATCCTTTTTGTTTTAATGAATACAATACCTAAGGCTTTGCAAGAACTGTCGCGGAGTCATGCTGCTGTCCACCCCAAGCAAAATATTAAGCCGCATCATCCTGGAGAGACTAAAGGATGCACTGGATTGAAAAATACTTTCCTAACAGGCTGGATTCAGGAAGTACAAATCACGTGTGGATCAAATTGCAACTCTTCGCATCATCACTGAACAGAGTTTAGAATGGCAGTCAACTCTCTACCTCAACTTCATCGACTTCGAGAAGGCCTTTGACAGCGTCAACCGAGAGGTAATTCGCCAACTGCTCCAACACTATGGAATACCACAAACCTTTATCAATCTCATTCAACAACTATATGAAGATGCCACATGTCAAGTAATTCACAATGGGAAGCTCAGTGATGCTTTTGCAGTGAGGTGAAGACAGGAATGAAACAAGGCTGTCTACTATCACCCATGATATTCCTGATTGTGGTTGACTGAATCATGCAACAAACCGTGAGGAGAGAGAAGAGCGGGATACACTGGACCGGGGAGAAGAACCTAGAATATTTGGATTTCTCCAATGACTTATGTCTAATGTCACACAAACTTGATGATCTACAGGCAAAAACTAACAAGTTGATAGAAGAGGCAGGGCAGGGCAGGGCAGCGAAGACGGGACTTCAAGTGAATATAGAGAAGACAGAGGTGATGAAGATACCCAATCATCAACAACAACAACAACAAAAACACATCACCATCAACGGGAGAAACTTGAAGGAAGTAACCTACTTCACCTATCTAGACAGCACTGTTTCAACTACAGGAGGCACACACACACACACATGAGGACGTCAAAGCCAGCCATGATAGGGAAAGCAAGACAGGCGTTAATTAACCTGGAACCAGTGTGGAGATATTCTGCACTCAGCATAAAGCCTGAACAAGATCGGGATTTTCAACACCAATTCAGTCAAGTCAGTGCTTGTGTACGGTTGAGAGACTTGGTGCGTTACGAAAGGGATTTCTAACAAACTACAGACATTCATCAACAACTGCCTACGTTGGCTCGTTACTGAAGACCAGATGGCCAGAAAGAGCAAGGAACAACAAGGAACTCTGGCTGATGACGAATCAACCAACAACCTTTTGCCTAACAAATATGCAGAAGGAAGTGGAGATGGATTGGGCATGCATTGCGAAGACTGACTGGGACATCACGCGTCAGGCCAGACCTTCGAGTGGAACCCAGATAGGAAGCTACCAGTCGGGCGTCCGAGATGAGTGTGACATGGAGGAGATGCTGTGAGGAAGAAATGAGAGGTTGTGGGCATTCGTGAAAAGATTTCAGAGAAGAGAGTGGAGTGGAGACGTGCTACTGAAGCTGTATGTTCCATTAGGAACCCAAGGGACATATAATATAATAAGTCATTTATTTCTTACATCTTTGTGCTAATAGTAGAATAACTTTACTAGATTAAGTGAAGTAATAACACTAGCATATTTCGGCTTTAAATTTATACACGAGCGCTAGTTCATGGCAGTTCAAACATAAATGACCTTGGTTAGTCAGACATATCAGTTTGATGTTGCTTCTTTGAGGTTACCTGAAAGAAGGAAGTAATAATGAACTGAATAATGACGACATTTCATAAGTTTGACATGACGAAATAAATATAGCTCTATATCAAGACGTTTTCACAAGAAGTGTAAGTACCTTCAGTGCGATACACCTGGCTATGTTGATTATCGTCATGCAGATACTCTTTGACAAATCGGCACTTTAGACGTGTTTATAGCCATGTATTAGTGAGGTAACAATGTTAAGTCTGTTGAAGTGATAACCTAGTCAATAAATAGATAAATTTGGTGACATAGGAAGTTATACACCTGATATCATCAACGCCTACTTTGAAACCGCTCTCTACGAATACTAATTCATCTCGTCAAAGTTCAATTAATGAGCTACTTTTACTGAACTAAATCATTTTCTACAACTCTTTTCACTATCAATTGCTCCATTTCAACTAAATGTTGAAGATTTTAGGGCCCGTTCGAAAGCACATCTGATACGATTATAGCAAAACAAAGAAACGGAGATTTCATTGTGTAATACTATGTCTAGTAATTTGTAACCAATTTCGTATGTCCACCGATTCAATATAGTGTTATGAGTCAACTAAAAAAAAATAAGGCATTGAAGCCCAACATTTTAATTTCAAAAGGACATCTTTGTTTTTGTAGGCATATAGGAGTTGAAATCGAACTTCACTTAGCAACCAGATAGTAGGTAATGAACCACACCTAGTGTATATGGATTAATGATACTACCTAGCTGACCGGATCACAGTAGGTAAGGTTGGGTTCAAACATATAACTTATCCATTGAAAGTCAAACGTGCAGACCAATGAACCACAGATTTAGACCATTGTAAAAGAAATCTGGGCACGCTTTCATATACACTGAGTTTTCTTGTAAGTAGATATCTATACATGTTATTGGACAGAGATCTATTGAAAAATTTTGCATGTCGAAGCAAAATAGATGAATGTATATTTCCATCATTATGATGGACTAAAGTCCAACATCCCAGAAAGGTGTATTGACGAACTATACTAACTTTCAAACAGCACTGATACTAATAACTGAATACAGAGTGGTAAGTGGTCTAAAATGTAAGTGGTTAAATTCTTATGATTTCTGATTCTGTAGTACTTCACGACTGATGTCTACATATATCCAGGTAAAAGATCATACCACAGTTAACTCAAAATGTCTTCAGACGCATTATGATTTTATGACTCAATTTTTTAGTTTAGGAGTATTGAACTACATAAATTGATTGGTTACTAAAAACAGTAACCAGTCTTCGCGCTGTCTAGTCCTGAATACTAACCGAATTCTATTGATCATTTCGCAGTGTGGCCGCCAAGCTACCAGGCTGGTAATCACGGTGCACTTTGATATATATATATACATATATTATTTATTATTATCTGTCCTTTAGGTTTCTAGAGGAAAATAGGGCTTCAGCAGCACGTCTCCATCTCACTCTTTTCTCTGTAGTCGTTCAACCTGACTTCATGACTTACCATACGCTTTAATTTCTTCATCAAACGATCTCCTGCATGTTACCCTCTCCTCGGACACCCAACTCTTTTCACATTTGGCTTCCACTCGACGACCTGGCCTAGCATGTGATGTCCACTAAACCATCTTCTCAGTCTCAGTCCAATCCATCTACACTTTCCTCTTCCTCATATTTGTTGGGTGATAGGTTCTTGCTCCGTTGGTTCGTTGTCAGCCACAGTTCCTTCTTGCTTATTTCTGCTGTTCTAGCCATCTAATCTTCGGTATTGAGCGAGTGTAGGTGGTAGCTGATGTATGTCTGCAGTTTGTTGGAAATGCTATTTGTAACGCGCCAAGTCTCTCAACCATCACATAGAAGCACTGACTGACAGAACTGACATTCGTGTTGAAACTCCGGATGTTTTTCCACATACTGAATGCAGTGCAGTAGATCTCCACACTAATTTCAGATTAATTCAGGAAGGCCTAACTGGCTGTCTTTCCGGCTTTGACGTCGTCATCTGTTCCTGTGTGGCCTGTAGTTGAAGTGATGCTGCCTAGGTAGATAGGTGGGTGTGTAGGTGGGCGTGTAGGTGTGTAGGTAGGTAGGTAGGTAGGTAGGTAGGTGTGTAGGTAGGTAGGTAGGTAGGTAGGTAGGTGTGTAGGTAGGTAGGTAGGTAGGTAGGTGTGGGGTGGTAGGTAGGTAGGTGTGTAGGTAGGTAGGTAGGTAGGTAGGTAGGTGTGGGGTGGTAGGTAGGTAGGTAGGTAGGTAGGTAGGTAGGTGGGTAGGTAGGTAGGTAGGTGTGTAGGTAGGTAGGTAGGTAGGTAGGTAGGTGTGGGGTGGTAGGTAGGTAGGTGTGTAGGTAGGTAGGTAGGTAGGTAGGTGTGGGGTGGTAGGTAGGTAGGTAGGTAGGTAGGTAGGTAGGTAGGTAGGTAGGTAGGTAGGTAGGTAGGTAGGTAGGTAGGTAGGTAGGTAGGTAGGTAGGTAGGTAGGTAGGTAGGTAGGTAGGTAGGTAGGTAGGTAGGTAGGTAGGTAGGTAGGTAGGTAGGTGAGAGAAACAACTTGCTTCGGATTTCTTCTGTTGATGATGATTGGTAATTGTTGTTGTTATTGGTTGGGCATCTGCATCACCGCTGTCTTCTCTACGTTCACCTGTAGGAGGTCCCTTCTACGCTGCCCTGCCTTTTCTGTCAACTTGTTAATTTTCATCTGTTAATCTTCGAGTTTGTGCGACACTAGACCTTGGACGCAAATGGTGATTGACGAAATCCAAATCTTTCAGCGTCTTTTCATTTGTCAAACAGTGTATGCTCATTTTTTCGCTCCTCGCAGTTTGTTGTATGATCCAGTCGAGTCAAGGTGACCACAATCAGGTAGAAGATCCGTGATATATATATATATATATATATATATATATATATATATATATATATATTCATGCCTGCTTATTCATTGTCTCCATGTAGTTGTGTTGTAAAACTTCATGGATTGTATAAAAAATGCTTATCAGGCTTCAAGTAGATTAAGTCAGTAGCGTGTAAGCTGGCTGTTGTCCCACCAGCTTCTATTTTTATAGATTTGTTCTAACATCAGCTACTTAGTTACAGGTAGCCCAGTCAAAGACAGTCACTGTCAGAAATAATTTTAATGTGTAGAATCAAAGAATTTCACTGTAGTGAAGTAAAAATCCTTAATAATTTCTGTATTCAAAGAGTATTTTAATTTTTCACAAATGTTCACCAAAACTGGAAACCAAGTTGTAAACAGTCTTTTTCATAACTCTGCTTTTTAATTTTAAACTTCCAATTGTTGTATACAGTTTTCTTGCAGTGAAACAATGACTATTCTTAATTTTGTCATGATTTTTGTTGAAATTTGTTTCAATAGACTATAGACGGTGATTTTTTTGAAACAAGCGCGAAAACAGGAGAGAATGTTCAAGAATCTATTGATGCATTCCTAAGGTAAATTGAAATATATAATGTTTTCTAGAAGTAGATAACAAACACATAAGTCTACTTTTACACCTTGGCAATAACCACCTGTCCAAATTTAAATAAATGAAGAAACTTGTCTTATGCAAATCAGATGCCAGCTGACTGTACAACTAAGTGTTCGTGTACCTCAATCTACTGGATAACTTATGAAATTCAAAGTGATGCATGTTACTATCTTCCTGTTACCAGTAGAGGACATGAGAAGGTTTCTTGTGCTTAATTACAGTTATCTTCGTAGCATAGGCCCGGTGTCGTGGTGTTATTATGTGCGTAACTCATAAGTCAGGAGGAAAGGAAAATCACCTGATAAAGTGGTGGATCTTCATAAATTGAGATGACTAGAAAATGTGTTACGCGTGAGTAGTCAACGTTTGACTCATCAAGCGAATCAATGTTCGGTGAAGAATGTTGAGGCTGAAAAAAGACTCGAAGGAGCTCGACTAAAACATCCTATTACTGCATGAAGTCCTTGACTGTTGGTTTCAGAAATGCTGGGAAATGCATAATAGCAGATTTAGGTCCTTGTGATAAGAGAAACCTCTTGTTGGAAACACTAAATGATGCTGCTCAGAATATTTGTCATTGGCACAGATCTATCAACACTCTGTCCTCATCTTAAATCCTGAACTAAGTTCATCATTTCCTCATTCCTCTCTCCTCCTTTTGACTGTGACTTTCTACTGATTTTCATCGATTTATCTAGCCCTCTTCAACTTTCATCTTACTGCTTTGTTACTTTTCATACTGATATGATGTGTAGCAACTTGAATCATTGTGCAGTAATTCATCATCCTATTTTCATCTTGGCTGATTGATTGTTTTGTGCTCTACAAGTGTTCGTTCGCTTGGTCGCATAAACTAATCACTGTGAATAGCTGTTTTAATTTTGCAGTGCTCAGGATTTTCAAACTAATTCCAGCATTCTGCACGGAGTTCTGATCTGAGCTTCTTCAGGGAAATAATGATGAAGCTGGGATAACACTTGTGTGCAAAACGTCAGAATTGGTTATTATAAGCCCACTGAGATCCATACAAATACAACATACTTCTAGTGAAACGAGAAGGCATTCACATCAATGTCATTGGGAATTATTTAGCTATTCAAGGTATTACTCTGCTTCAAGCATTATCTCGTGGTTTCTCACTGCTTTAAACATCATATAAGAGAACAGATATGGCTGTATTTCTGACAATAAGTTCTGTTGAATGAAGCAATGTAAATCATACTTCCTACATGAATGTTTCAGAATCAGGAGATATTTCAGTGTAATACATGTTCATTCACAGTCTTGTAAACGTCAACTGTGTTTTGAACAATTCAAATCGTCTGACAGAACATTCAACGAAACCAAGTTCATTTATTCTGTCACACTTAAAATAATGCAGATAGACTTTACAATTTTATGTTTAAATAAGCAGTAACTAGGTATCTGTGGTGATTCACTCTGTGATTGACCATTCTGTAC